ATTTTGTTTTCATCGAGATTTATTTAACAGATCCATGGGAGGCAGGTAGTATTAGATAACTAGTTGGAGGATTTTACAGCTTTTAAATAAAAAAAAGAATAAAAGACATTGCATTGTCTATATTATCGTTAAGGATTATGGTATCATAGATTATGCTACCAGAACAATTTTTTTTATATTTATTTCAGTACTTTGTCTTCATGTTTACACAGGGTACCATAAGGATGGAGAATGTAATAAGGCTAAATTGCAAAATTTTCAGCTGTTGCATGAGTAGTTTCAACTAATAAATATTGTTGGAGCTCAGTCAATTTACAGCGCTATGTTAATTAATCTTCAACCAAGAAACGGCTGAAACCAAATGGTACAATTTATCATGTTTACTTCTTATTTCCTTTTATATTAATCTGTGTATTCATTTGATAGGGTAAATCATGGTAAAAGGCAATGTCATATGCTGAAAGAGTCCTAGTATTGAAATCAACACTTTTATTTCACCATATTTCCTTTTATGAGGTATATAAAATAATAATAAAAAAACATTTGGCACAGATTGGTGCTTTGGGCCAAACTGTGCCAAATGTGTCCAATAAAACTTGTGGAACATATGTGCTTTAACTACTTAACTCCTTCTGTTGGCACAGCTTTAGCTAAGATGTTGGGAAGAAAAAAAAATCCTTCGGATTTCACAAGCTTTTTCATGATGATTTGCTTTTTTTCAGAGAAAATATTTTTATTATGCTAAAACAATTCCTCGGTTTTAAACAATATTTATATATATAGCATAGTAACAGCTGCTGAAATCTTGATAACTCTGGTCAGATACTCTTTAAAGTGGGTTATTTTTTTAAAGCAGTTACCAAAAATTTGTATTTCGACTTCAGAACTGTTGAGCTATTCTTGATTTATTATGTTTTATATTTTAATGCAGAATTTTCTTACAAATCAAAGCTTTTAATGTGGTTTTAGAATCTATTATGACCTCCTGACTCAGACATTGAAGTCATGTTTGAGGAATTCCTGTTGGTTTGAAACTGCTGTTCAATTTTCTTTTCTGCTTGTTGACATGTTTTTAACAGAATCTGAAGAAGATTGTGTAATTAGACAGGTTTTCTTCAATAACAATCCACTTAGTCATAGTTGATTTTCCAATATAGTACTAGATAGACAAAAACAATAGAATAAAATTATAAAAGAAAAGTGCTAAGGTCACATTCAATGCTAACTCAAAACAGAGCATAAATTTGTAAAAATATAAAAATGTAACCCCGCCTCCCAAAAAAAACTAAAAAATTGTGTTTATTTAAAGGAGAATATACTATCACATGGCTTTAAACATTCAGAACATTTTCAAGAACTCTGCAACTTCTCTAAAAACAAGGTATTCTGCAAAGTTTTTTGTTCGTAGTAAAAGAATCTGTGATTCCCCAACCTTGTCAGTTGGGAATTGGCTTAGGACTCAGAAGTTGACAAACAGACATCCTGAATGGACAATATAAGCCCAGCGAATATCACACTGTGTGCCTAGAAACCATATGCCTTCTTTCCATCTCACCTAAAGCTGTTTTGTTGAAGCTCCCATCATTTGCCATCACATTATACATCTCTGTGTATTTTAGCTCTACTTGCCTTTCCTTTTGTAAAAAGTTATTTTTTTTCCTGTCTGCTTAATGCTTCTAAGTGATGTTTAAGCTAAAAGTATATGAATCATTATCCTGAAACTGAAAAGGTTCTGCTTTATTCCCACAGCTTCTTGCTAATCGCTAAAACTGGAGCTACCTAATTCAGTTTATAATGGGAATCACTTTCTTATATGGCGTTTTCACTGCCAGATGTATACAGCCACATGTAAGAAATACAGTATGGTCAAGTAGCATATATTATAGACCTATATACCAGTATAGCTGTTAGGTCTTGACAGCATTTCTTTCTTTATTTTATTGTTCCTACATTTATTTTTAATAGCTATGTGAAATCCAGTATGCTAATATTTAACAAAGCAATGATGGCGTTGTGTTGAACAGATGGGCATTTGCCGGAAACTTATTTTATTGCTTTTACTTAGTTTCATACATTTTTTTAACCTACTGCTCTCTCATTGCCATGGCATCCACTAACAGTGGATAGAAAGCCTGTTGAACCATTTTGATGTATTTTCTTCCTGGTGACTCACAGTCAATGTTTTCCACCATCATTATCACCCTATAATCAAATGCTGCTTGGAAAAAACCTCTAGTGACCTTTTTGATTGTATAACCAACTGTCTACCTAAAGCAGACACTGACTTATACAAAAGAAAGAGTACCTCTTTTATGTCTATTATCTGATGCCTTTTATCTTTTTTATTTTTGCTAAAATAAATACCTGTTTGAATTCTTTGTTGATTTGATATAATACAGATATTTATTATACAAAAGGTAAATACTCAACTATATGCACGAGATCTGAAAACACCATATCTTAACAAGTAACACCTTGATCACGTTCTCATGTTGTCTGTTTCAAGCCTCGAAATCAATGCTATTTCTGACATTTTGAATTCAAAAAGCTTCCTGGATGGGAAGCGAAACATCTTCAAACTTGGAAACAAAAGTCCAGTGGATCGTTTAACTTTTTTTGGAATGACTATGACCTGGATGACTGAGAATCTTCACCAGCATACCTTTATCATAGACTTTCTGCGGTTATCATCATGGTTTTGGACATAATTTTGGATAGCTTTTTTACATTTAGCAAGGGTTCATAAGTGGTACATTCCTATGTCCTAGCATGAACACAGATGTTGCGTATGTGCTATATGGGGCGACACTCACATTGGTTGCAGGAGGCCTCGCTTCTTTCGCTGAGCCCCAGGACAGCTGTTGCTAGGATGTGGCTTACAACCATCATGGTTGGAACGAATGGGTGAGAGACTGAATGTAGTGTAAAGTGCTTTGGTCAAGCCTCCGGACTTGAAAAGGCGAAATACAGGGCGTTTACTGTTTATTTCTACAACTTTCTAGTCTACCCAAGGGCAGAAATTTGGGATTTCCAGAAGCCTTTTGTAAGCCTGATTTACCAGATTTTAACAATTTTTATATTTGACACTTTTGTCATAGCCCATTTTGTTCTCCGTTTCAATGTACCTGTTGATTTGAAGTGAACTTAAAGAACCTTGAAGAACCCCTTATTCAATATTTAGTTCCTCTTTGGTAATGCTGCCAACATAACACTACACCATGATTCTCCCATGCCATCATGAAGCCTGGTTTATGCTTGCAAGTGTGCAAGGTCCCTACAGTGACACAAAGCAAAGTAGTGTTGCTTGAACAAACTCCTCGAATGCTCCTCAGCGAGCTTCTGCATGGCCTGTTTGCTTTGTACCCTTGTACCTAGGAACATTTTTAACTGCCCTGACAGTTCTGCACAGTAAAACTTAGAGGATGGGCAAAAGCTACTATTCCCAAAGGTTCGCAAATGTAAACATCTATTGGCATTTTATGATTTGGTCATATAATGATTAACAGATCTTTAACAACTCTTGTAAATAAATTACTGCCATTCTTAGATAACTAAGGAGTCATTGAAGAGGCACTGAAAGTGTTTTCTACTTCTACATGTAGTAGGGCGTTGTGAACTTGCAGCCTGTGCCGTAGAGTTCCCACTACATCCTGCCACAATGTTGGGTACAGCAGGCCCACTGTGTTCCGCGTGTCTCATCACAGCACAGAAGATAAATGCCTTAAAGCTTAAACCAACCTCATGATTTGAAAGCCTCACCTTGACTTCTCCAAGTAAACCTTTTTTTTCATTGAGCTCAAGCAGGTCAATCGGTCTGTTATGGCAAATAAACTCTGTTTTGAAGCAGAGGGTTGGTTTTTATCAGTACCTTATTTTGTGTTAATACAGTATATGGGTGGCTTTATTGTGGACAGTAAGCCTGACGTTGCATTCATTTCCATTTAATTATAGGTTTGTGCTTTGTTTGAGTCTTATTTTTAATGTCGGTTAGAGAGTTTGAAATTTGAGCACAAGTTGATGTTCCAGCAGGAAAATACACCAAGGACATATTATATAAAGCTAAATAAAATAAAGGTTTTGAAAGGCTTTCTCAAAACACTACAATAGGTTTTGTCTACAAATTCTAAGCCTCGAAAGATTGTAGAATGTTGTTTGTAAAAAGTTGGACTTGGATAATAGCCTCTCATAGGCCCAACCGAGCTCACCAGTGTTTTAGATAGACACAGTGAAGGAATATTCCACTGAGCTACTTTCTGAGACAATGATAGAGACAGACAGCTTTTATGTTGATCACTCTCCGAACACAAAGTCTTTATTTAGCAACTTCAATATGAGGAAGCCTAAATTCTCAACATGGCTTAATTTAGCCTCTCCCTGTGCCAGACAGTGCATTGACTGCAAAAAAAGGTTAAGACTGAATTCAAAGACCCTTTTGTCTATGTGTAGATCTAAGGCAGGCCAGAACACTTATAAACAGCTTTACATCCTGTAGGATTTAAACGTAAAGGTCACAGTTTAAACCACAAACAAACAGCACTGGCTAAATTAATTCTAGTGACAAGAAATTAATTAAAAATATTCCCTTTCTTAGTTGTTCTTTCTTTAATCTATTTTTAGTTCCGCTGTTTTTGTTGTCAGCCTGCTAAGCTTATGATATTCTTGCATTCTCACACCCTGCAAACATTGTCAGCTTAATGCCTAAAATGTTGAATGCAAATGCAGAGGGAAGACTATTCGCTCGACACGGTTGTTTCTCCTTTACAGCGATTTGGACAGCATTCAGACTCACAGACATTTCCTCGAGAATCATTTGTGTTTCACTAGCACACATATCAGAGCAGTATTCTGTGGATATGTATACTGGGAGCTCATTATGTATTTTTTGGACTGATTTTCAAAGTTGCCTTCATTTTGCAAACCAAGTCTTTACTGACTGACAATTTTATTATGACACTGGTAGTGATAATATTTTTCTTGTTATTTGTCTTTCTGCACTTCAGGATTTGAAGAAGGTGTTGTCTTTCCCCCCGTACCCTGGGGAGTTTTTGCACCCGGTCGTGTATGCCTGCACAGCGGTCATGTTGCTCTGCCTCTTTGCCTCCATCATCACATACATAGTGCACCACAGGTAAGAAGAAATTTTGCAAACCGGATAAAATGCCTGCCACATTCGGTGTTTAATCCTCTTCAGCCTGGCATTCTATAATTTAGATTCAAAGTCATTAACTTCACCTCAGCATTTGGACAAGCAGACAGACGATTGTATAATCTCATAATTTCTCACCTTTTTTTTCCCCACTCTTGGTCGTTTTTGCCTTCTCTGCCTCAGATCCTGGGCTCATTGGGGTGTGAGTCAGATGCTTTAGGCTGCTGTTAAGCCCTACAATCTGTCTAAGAGGATATAAAACATGTACACATTTGTGTCTATGTAAGTGCATGTGTTTTAGTTCATCATTGGATAAACACATGACTGCAATGGATTTGTTTGGAAGTAGGTAGTGCACCTTCTTTGCTTGATATGAATGAGATGAGAACAGAGAATGTAATAAATACCTGTTTTTTAAATAAATTCATAAAAAAACCCTCACAGCTTTAAAGATTCCAGATAACACTGGCTGTCTTAAATTGTTAAAATGCATTTCTGACTGCTACACTTCTTCCGTCATTTACATTTTTCCCTTTAATATATAATAATATTTAAAATTTGAAACCCACCTGGGTATTTTTTTTCATCTAGTTTTTAATATTTTAGTGTTACATATCTTCAAGATATCTGCTATATATTTTTTTTATTATCAGAAAACTGAAATGCAGCACAACCAGGTTCATACTGGTAATTTCTGGCATTATATGTTTAAATATTAGTTTTAGTTTATACATTTTAGGCCAGGGGTCTTCAACGTTTTCCAGGCTAAGAACCCCCAAATTGATGGCGAGATGGAGCGGGGACCCATAATTATATATATTATATGAAATAGTGTTCTATCAAACTGGTCGTATAGTCACTCTTTTACAGATGGAGTAATGTAATGAAAGTAAAGTCGCCCTGGGATTATTAAAGTATTTCTGATTCCTGGTTGATGGGACAGGTGTTGTGAATGAAACGGTGCCCAGCTTAAAAGACCTCCTGTGTGTCGCTGAATGTGAGCATTGATGACTGAAAGACATCTTCTGCCTCCATTTATCTGTTTACTACAGTTTGTTGAATTCATGTTAATGTGGATTTAAAGACATTTTAGTTAGTGGGAAAAATTGCTGGGGGGAATATATATAAAAAAAATAATAAATCTAATCGACCAAAACATTCTCGACCCCCATGCAGTACCTCTGTGGACTCCCTAGGGGTCACGCACCCCCTGTTGAAGACCTCAGTTTTAGGCTATATGTATTGCTAGATGTTTTGCTTACATCAGAAAAAAACAGATAACTTGAACACTGCTTAAACTAATAAGATTTATCGCGATTAATCGACTATTGAAATGATCTCCAACTAATTTAGTAATCAATTAATTGTTATCTGGAGTATAGAGACTCTAAAACATGCCCTTAGCAGACAGAGCGACCCATTTAGAGCAGTAATTATATCAAAATTGTAAAAAAATAAAAAATAAAAATCTACATAAACATTTTGCATTTAAGATTAAAAAGACGTTTTCGTCTGTCAAAATGCTCTATCCAGAATGGCTCAAGTTAAAAAGTTTTACCTGGTTTAATTCAGTATAAAATCTTCTTTAAGGAATCTTTTGCTATCCGAATAATATTTAAAAAAAATAATTGACAGATTAATCCATTTTGATCATTAGTTGGAGCCATAGCTCAAACCACTTTTCAAAACTTTTCAAAAAAACACATTAACGTCAGCTTGAGGTTGAGCCAAAAGAACAACACATTTTTTATGCATTATGGCAGGCTTGGTGCTTTGCTCATACAGTATGATGGCATTGCTTTCAACATGCTCACATTGAGAAACTCTTTGAGCTCCTCCATATCTCTTACTAGGCTCTCCCTAACTCCGAAACACATCTCTGTTTAGTAACACCTCAGTATCACTCTAACAGACTGACAGGATCCAAGCTATAAAGCACCAGGACCGGGTGTTAAATGGGCAGAATGAAAGACAGTTCAGTAATAAACAGCAGGAAGTAAGTTCAGATGTGTAAATGTATTTACGCTCAGATTCAGGTGTTTGTTTTATTCTTTCTCCTACAAGATATTTTAGAACAGAATATGTGATTATGTATTATGTATGAGCAAGAAAAAAAATCACAGCAGTAGGTATTTCCTTAAACTCAAAATCCTTTGAAAGCAAGTGGCACAATTTACATCTAAATTGTTCACAGTCATGACCAATTACCAAATATTAAATCTGACTGCTGCAGTCAAAGGAGTAATCCTGGTCTTTACAGTTTGCTTTACTAATTTTTAAAGTCTTTAAAATATTGTATAATCCATAATTCTATAGCATTTCATCTAAAAAAAATACTTTATCTATTAAATCAACCAGAAGCTTATCATCCTTTATCATGACACAGTTTTCTAATACAGGTAAATCAGGTTCCAATTTTACAAACATATATTTATTCTTAGTCAGAACTGTTAACACACAAGCTTAGATTAATAGTTAAATTTCAAAGAATTACCAATAGGATCAAGACTTATTTGCAACCCCGTTTATGTATGTTAATTAGATAAAGAAACAAGCACACATAAAGCTGCACTCCCAAGAAACTCAACACAAAAAGTAGAATAAAAAAATCAAAAATATAAAAAAAANAGGCTATATGTATTGCTAGATGTTTTGCTTACATCAGAAAACAACAGATAACTTGAACACTGCTTAAACTAATAAGATTTATCGCGATTAATCGACTATTGAAATGATCTCCAACTAATTTAGTAATCAATTAATTGTTATCTGGAGTATAGAGACTCTAAAACATGCCCTTAGCAGACAGAGCGACCCATTTAGAGCAGTAATTATATCAAAATTGTAAAAAAATAAAAAATAAAAATCTACATAAACATTTTGCATTTAAGATTAAAAAGACGTTTTCGTCTGTCAAAATGCTCTATCCAGAATGGCTCAAGTTAAAAAGTTTTACCTGGTTTAATTCAGTATAAAATCTTCTTTAAGGAATCTTTTGCTATCCGAATAATATTTAAAAAAAATAATTGACAGATTAATCCATTTTGATCATTAGTTGGAGCCATAGCTCAAACCACTTTTCAAAACTTTTCAAAAAAACACATTAACGTCAGCTTGAGGTTGAGCCAAAAGAACAACACATTTTTTATGCATTATGGCAGGCTTGGTGCTTTGCTCATACAGTATGATGGCATTTCTTTCAACATGCTCACATTGACAAACTCTTTTAGCTCCTCCACATCTCTTACTAGGCTCTCCCTAACTCCGAAACACATCTCTGTTTAGTAACACCTCAGTATCACTCTAACAGACTGACAGGATCCAAGCTATAAAGCACCAGGACCGGGTGTTAAATGGGCAGAATCAAAGACAGTTCAGTAATAAACAGCAGGAAGTAAGTTCAGATGTGTAAATGTATTTACGCTCAGATTCAGGTGTTTGTTTTATTCTTTCTCCTACAAGATATTTTAGAACAGAATATGTGATTATGTATTATGTATGAGCAAGAAAAAAAATCACAGCAGTAGGTATTTCCTTAAACTCAAAATCCTTTGAAAGCAAGTGGCACAATTTACATCTAAATTGTTCACAGTCATGACCAATTACCAAATATTAAATCTGACTGCTGCAGTCAAAGGAGTAATCCTGGTCTTTACAGTTTGCTTTACTAATTTTTAAAGTCTTTAAAATATTGTATAATCCATAATTCTATAGCATTTCATCTAAAAAAAATACTTTATCTATTAAATCAACCAGAAGCTTATCATCCTTTATCATGACACAGTTTTCTAATACAGGTAAATCAGGTTCCAATTTTACAAACATATATTTATTCTTAGTCAGAACTGTTAACACACAAGCTTAGATTAATATTTAAATTCCAAAGAATTACCAATAGGATCAAGACTTATTTGCAACCCCGTTTATGTATGTTAATTAGATAAAGAAACAAGCACACATAAAGCTGCACTCCCAAGAAACTCAACACAAAAAGTAGAATAAAAAAATCAAAAATATAAAAAAAACACTTTATATTCCCCCAGTGGAGAGAAACATACATTTTCCAGTAGCAAAATGAAGTAAATAAAAGCATACTGTATATATATATATATATATACACAAGGGGAAAATATTAAAAAGGATAAAACAGAATTGTAAAATGTGCAGAAAAGGAAAATTTGTGAAATAAGAAAACGTATTGTGCAGTAAATTAGTAGTTAAAAATAACAAAAAGTCAATATATAAAGTGTATGACTTTGTTTTTGCTGATTTCTCATTTATAACCTGTTTATAACACAGGAAAATAAGAAATGAATTCCAAGTGTGAGACCCCTGGTCTTTTAACTTGACTTCCTCTGAACCACTATGAAACTGATAAGAAGACTTCTGATAGGAGACGAAACACAGCATTTTTCTCCTGATATGAAAACTCAAAAGTACTGTTGCATTTCTTTACTGTCACTGCATGTGCATGTCACATAGACTGACCTCCAAAAGCTAAATGTTTATTTTTAAACTCTTTGAGACAGTTGGTTCTCTCTAAGGAGTTTTAAATCCAGATAATTTCACTTCTTATTTCTTATCATTTTATTCAGCTGCAGCTACTGCAGCCCCTGGCAAACGTTTCTGATGCCAGGTGTCTCTAGGGAAATGTATTTATTAGTTTAGCATCTTTTCTGCCTTGGGGATTTAAGCTTTGTTTAAAAATGTGTTGCACAAGCAACATTTACATCTAATTTTATGTATTTGGTGTGTTGTCCAACCTAAGGAAACCAATAGCTTAAATTCACAGTAAGATCAGATCCCAATTTAAATCATGTTAATCGTGTTACGATAATTGTCAAAACCTTAGCAGCTTCTTAGTGGAATGCAGCTACTTGTAAATTATAGCAAGTGATCAATATAGGTTTTACCAAGCCAGAGCAACCCTATGCATTCCTGGCTCTTTGACAATATGCATCTTCATATGCTACGTTTTGGCA